CCGGGAGGCACTGAAACGTCTACTGCAACTAAGCCTACACAGGCTAGATTGGCTATTCCAGAAAACACAATTTTCGTGCAATATTTGTTCAAGGATCACCCCCAGCCCGTTAAGCGAAATTCACATGTGTCAGCGACGCAAATAGCAATCAACACGTACTGTTTAAAAAATTATACTTACGATACAGTTTATGATAATTCATAGGTAATAATAAAGGTAGTGGTAAGCAGTGCTAAAAACAGGCTGGAATACACCAAGCGTGCTGGTGCAATCATGCGTTTTTGCATCAGACTTGAGGTACTCAGGTTGCTGACTGCATGAATGGTTGTTGCTTCACACCTACCATTTGCATTCACTAGCAAAAATCATCGTAACAGGTTGTGCTAAAAAAAACCACGAAAAATGGTACAACTGCCTACAGTGAAAAAAAGTAAAGGCAAAATTATATTATAATTATAAAGTAAGAGGAAACTGAATTGGAATGTTTCGGTCCATTAAGTTGCAGCACTACAACTGAACCTCATCAGTACGCCGGTTGCAGTAAACAGCAAAATATTGTTTGTGCTATTGGGAAAAACTGATAAACCAAAGTTTTGGGGGAAATTTTCCTCCTGATCAATATGTTCTTCTGCAGTCAACTAACGCAGGAAAAAGTTAATTACAACTTAAAGAGCATTTTAATTATCATTAATAATTTTGATTTTACGACCTTCAAAAGAAACCATAATAAAAGTAATAATGATAACGGCTGTGACAAACATGTTTCTTAACTATTTGAAAAGGGCTAATGTTAGCAGCTATAACAACACTGCTGTTTGTTCAAATTTGCGTTGGTTACCACGTCTCACATTCACGTTTTCACCTTGGGAAGAAGAATAAAGTAAGCGGAGAGGAAAATGAGGAAGGAATTAATTTGTGAATGGTTCACCGATTTCCCACCCCCACAAAACCAGGAAAGCTAAAAAGCAGTAAAACTTCTTCCAAGTTTAACATTCCCCAAAGAATTTTTTAAATTATTAATTTAAACATTACTTCCAAAAATTCTGGTCATTTAAAAAGACTGTTAAAAGCACAAAAACAAGGCAAGTTTCAAAAAATCTGAGCTTTATCGTTTTTAGGAGAGGTGTTTTTCAGGACAAGAAACAAGGCAAATTTTAATCTGGGCTTATTTTTTGAGGAGTTTTCTTTTTTTATCATTTTTTTTTTCGAGGGCTGCAGAATCCTGATATGCTACCCCGATTTCTTCCATGCAACTGCCAAAAATGAGTCAATTTCAACGAGCAAAAATGAACGAACTGGGAGATGGGCATCAAATGAGCG